CTTCATAATCTTCTTACTCCTTATGGTGATAGATTGAGTTGATGCATTGTAAGCATTAACTCTGTCATTTGTTCTTGCATTTGAGCCATTTCACTCTTCATTTAAGTAAGCTTTGCCATGCTAGCACAATAAAAAAAAAAAAAAAAAAAAAAAAAAATCTATTTTCACAAAATAAAATACTTAAGAATCAAAAAAAAAAAATAGAAATAATATCAATTTAGAAGAGGATAATCCACAACTTCTAATTCGCTTATGTCTTATCAAGAGAAAGAAATAATCTACTCTTAATTAAGAAAGGACAAAGCTTTGATATTATATGTATACTCTTGTCAATTTATCAAGGACGCAAACTAGAAGAAGATACATAAACTTATAGAATCTATGTCAAAAGATAAGTGACAAAATAAAAGAAAGTATGTATATTCAAGGAAGAACTGGAATGGCTATTACCAAAGACTAGAAAACATAAGACTCTTGAAACTAAACTAAAAGCAAGAAAGGAATTGACAAGAGTGAGGAAGACCTCATACTTGCCTTTATATATATTACTTAATTAAGAACTATGTGGTGACAAGCTATATGACATGCAATATGCATCTAATTTACAGGACACATGTTTAATTTGCAAGGCAAGTTTCCTTGGAGTGTACCATATGTCCAACTTGTACTATAAGTGGTTTACATGTCAACAAGTGGCCTCCTTGTTGGCCAATTTTTCAACCTATCAATCACCTATAGACATGTATAAAGGCAAAGTAATGTCTATGAAGTTTCTATGAAGCTTTCCACAAGATATTATCATATTTATTTACTTTGACTTATTTCTACCTATTCTTATTATCTAGATAATTATCAAGGTAAATATGTATGTTTGTTTTATAAAATTAAGATGAAGAGTAATAATTCTTTGCTATAATAAAAACAAGATTTAATAAAAATTATATTCTATCTATTATCTTTGTTTGTAATTTTTGTATATTTATGGTTCTAAAGAAAAGGAGATTCAACAACCAACAAATTTAATTTCAGAGGTAACTTTTGCTAAGTTAGATAAAATATTGCAATTATCACAATTTTTTATACAATATAATAGACATAAAGATCTCAAAGAATAACATATTTTTCTTTGAATCGATGGTGAAATACAATGTATTTGGTATTACAACATTTAAAAAAAATCTTGATGTTTGATTATTTTATTGGAAGAAAGAACCAACCTTGACAATGTTTTATATATTTTATTTGGAAGAAATTACAAAAGCTTCAACAATCATCAAATATTAAGGTGGTCTTCTTGCCTTAATATAAGATTCTATTAATGGCTAAAATGACCTATCAACTACCTAGAAAAGAAAAAAAAAATGTCAAATTATATGATAAATATAATTTATCACATCTTAGACTTTTTCAACATATAATTATTGCTTCTTGTGGAATTTGACTTCCAAAAGAAGGCAGTAATGTCATATATATATATATATATATATATATATATTTATTTATTTATTTATCTAGAGTAAATGAATTAGATAGAAGTAGAAACAAACATATTTGATAACACCTTGTAAAAAGCTTTGTAGAAGCTTCATTGACTCAATTTGAATTCATACATACTTATAGAAGATTGATAAGTTAAAAACTTAATTACTTGTGGAAGAAGTTTGTTATGTGGTATACATATAAAACCTATCTTATAATTTGACATATATTTTATAAATTGGACACGTATTAGAGATCTATATCTAAGTTAGTAGTACATTTTCAAATAAAACAACATGGAATACAATATTGTATAGGACATATCTAATTTTGAAGGCTAATTTAACTTATTACAATTTGATGTTGGATCAAATAAAATAACTTTAGTGACACAACTTATTCCATCAACTTGCCTCTTTTGATAACTTGATTAGAAAGCTTTGACATAGGATAAAGATTTTTAATATTGCAATAAAATTCTTTTACTTGATTAGAAAGCTTTGACATAGGATAAAGATTTTTAATATTGCAATACAATTCTTTTACTTGATTCATATTTTTGACAATGATTAGTAATTCTATTAGTTGATTTTAATTTTTTTTTTCTATATAGCCTTGTTTTGCTAATAGAGTCTTAAAAAATTTATTTGGCATAATAATTTCTTTTAAAATTATGGAAATTGATGTAAGTATCATCACGCTTGAATTCAATTCATTGCTTATATTAAATTAAGCAATGGTTAATATGTTCTTTGTATAAAATATGATTCTATCTTATAAGTGATTATATGGTCATTATATTAATTTATTTTTAGAATTTTTTTAACTAGATATCAAAATTTTGGCTTTATGTTTTTTCTAATTTATTCTATTTTTTAAAAAAAAACTTTAAATCTTATTAAAATTAACTTATCTAGATATGGATCAATAATAAATAAAAGTTTAAATATTTTAATGTAGTGATGTTGACATACTTAATAGATGTAGTGCAGTCTTTAAGTAGGTTGATTTCTAATATAGTATTTTTTTCAAATTTAGATATTAGTTTTTATTGTCTTATTTATGCTTTCTTAAGAGCCTTACAATCTTTAGTTTAATGCTTTGTGACCTAATCTAATTGGCATGAAATTAAAAGATTAAGATAATTAACAAAATTTGACTTATGCTTGCTGGTTACAATGTTAAGTATCTTCATGTAGAGCTTCCAGCCTACTCCAAATTCCATTGCAACAAAAAAACTTGACTTAAAAGCTTTTTTATTATTAAGTCTATTGCTAAGAATCTCTCCAAGTCCAACCTCAATTTATTTTGAAATTTTAGTAAATTTATTTATAAGATTTTTAAATACAAATTTTATTGATATTTTAAAAGAAAAAAAAAAAAAAAAAAAAAAAAAAAAATCTATTTGGTATCTAAATTGCTCTGAAATCAAAGTTTGAATTCCAAGTTTAAAAACTAGAAAAGTTCATAGAAAATTTATTTGGTAGTAAGATTAGAATTTTTTCATAACTTTGGCTAAAGATTGTAAGAGTTAGTTGATAGTTATAAAGATAAATTTGGCCATGATTTTTGCCAAAGTAAATAGAACTATCAACTAATTCTTACAATCTTTCTTTTTAAGTAGATTAAATGGTATCATTGAGCTTACAACCAACACATAATTCAATGATTGTATCTTAGCAAAGTTATACCTTAGCTTGTTATACTTTATCTTGATGCACTATCACAATTCTTAGTTCTATACAAAGCAATAAATTAACATAGCTTCTTATAAATCTCAATAGAAGAAATTTTTTTTAGAGTGTATTTGATTAAATACAACTATCTTTGTAGGCATTGTAAGTTATAAGAAGGAAGAACTTATTCTTCATTAAAACCTATCTGCTAGTTCTTAGCAATACTTTTAATTGTATTTTTCAAGTAACTTAAATATATTTGTTATATCTCTTCCTCCTCTCCTTTTGTACTCTACATAGGTCATTAAAACTTGCATAGTTATTTTCAAGTATTAAAATTCTTAAATATGTTTTTAAAAAATAAAAAAATATTACCTCTTATATTTTGCACCCTCCTTAAAACTATGAAGATAATCATATTTAGATTGTGGTTTTTAGTTATATTATCAACTTTCTTGTTATAAGTATGGTAAAAATTATGAAGATAATTGTATTTAGATTGTGGTTTTTAGTTATATTGTCATCCTTCTTGTTAAAAGTATGATAAAAGTGTTATTGTTAATTTGTCATAGTTTTTTTATGCATTTTATAAAATTTTATATTTATACGAATTTTGTGCATTTATATTATTAATAGCCAATATAAGTATGAATACATATTTTTTATTAAAAATGTAATATTATTTAGCAATGCAAACTATATTTTATTATTTTTTAATTTTTTTTTGGATGTATTCAATTATGTAGGCAAATTTGATCTCTTACAGCTTATTTTAAAACTTTTTTCTAGAAGTGACACTATTTAGAAGTTGTCCTTACAACACAAATTGACAACATTATACCTAAATATTTGTAAGTTTATAAAAAAAAAATTATTCAATTTAAGCATACTGGTTTTTTTTTAAGATACAATAACTTGGATTCATAGATAGACCATTGATTTTTAAGATTTATAATATTTATTTTAAAACTAAATTGTATTCAAAGTAAGAGCAATCAATTAATTATTTAAAACTAATCTTGAATGAAAAAGATTACATGTATATATTAAATCAAATCAATTTTTTTTAACAAATTCCAACTTCTAAATTCTTTTCAGAAACCTCTAAATGAACACCCCCCCCCCTTTTATTGTGTGGACAGCTCCTCCTCCTGCTTTGTACCACATATACTTGCATACATACAATAAAATTCTACATTACATTAAAATAATTTTAGGATAAATTTGTAATAAAATATTTATATACATTGGGTCAAAGCATTTTTAATTTTATTAATTTTTAAAAATTAATAAAGTATTTCTTATAATTCTTTTATTCACTTTTAAAAACCTAAATGATTTAATTTAAGAATCTCTTATTGTAATTTTATCCTAATTATTTTAATGTGAATAAGATTTTTATTATGTACATGCAAGGGTGCATGGGATAGAAGTGTAAGTAATTTCATGGGTGGGTGCTGCTTGCATTAAGATTGCGATAAAAAAAGGAGTGTCTACTTAGCAATTTCCTTGTTTTATTAAGATATTATTCATTGATTTTGTTCCATCATTTTCTTTTCTAATACATTGTATTGATGATCACGTTTTTAACTAAGGAGAGCTGTAGAGATATCTTAAATAAAGAAATTTTGAATAAAGAATCTGCTGCTTTAAATTGTGTTTCCGTGGCCTGTGTATATATTTGTTATGTTATTTGGTGACACACATTTGATTGCACTTTGAATGTTCACAGAGTTTTAAAATACTCTTAAAGTAGTTTACAATATGAGTTTTTTCCTTTTACAAATGTTAATGCTCTGTTATAACAATGCAAGGCAAAATATTTTTAAATGTTTGGAGTATAAGTGAAAAACTTGAATCAATAAGTTTCATTCTCCACTATTAAATCACCCACTGGTTTAATTCATTTGCCAGTTCGGGGAAGTTGATTTACATGTTGCATCAAGTGGGCGCATCCGCACGTTAAAAAATCTTGTACAATTTTTGGAGGAACTAAACAACTACCTAGCACAATAGCAACATATAAGTTTTTTGTGTAAGAAGAGAGGATTCCTTTTGTGACGGGTGAGCAAGCGGAACCGAAGGGATGAGTACTGTAGCTACCAACCGCAAACTGCCTGTCGAGGCGCGTATCTAAATGCAAGCAGCACCCACCCATGAAACGTAGTGTACAGGGCAAAATGAAAGGAAGTAAAACAAGCACCTGGTATAAAAAATGATCGCGCCATTCAAACCACCGCAAAAGTAGAACTTGAGTCGAGTCCCCCTCGGGTTCTTCAAAAATTTGTGCCGTCCTCGGATCGATCAACTGGTGATCGTGCTTGGTATGTGATGACGAAAGAAGAGCATAGATCCTAAAACCTAGCACAAGGATATCTTCAAATAAAAAGCTTCGAAGCCTACTGAAATCTGTCGACGATCTTCAGCCACCTTCCTGGATGTGCAATGATGGGCACACTGCATTTCTACGCCCGAGAAGAGCCCCTTAAACTCCTGATCATAGTTTCCTCCCTCCATGATAAGTTCGTGAATGTCAAGTGCACTGAAGAATGGCAGAGATGTCATTCTTGAACATACATTACGAGGGTTTTATTCACGTTTATTCCAAGCGACTTCAACTGTAATTTGATCCAATCTTCCCCACTACTAATCCATCAACATAACTTCATGAGAGTTTCAGAAGCAGGTTCGGATCTGACGCTGTTCCAAGCCATAAGAGGCTCCCAGTAAACCTTCGCGTGCACAACGCCACTCACCCGTTTCGCAGCCCACCATAGAAACGGAGTGATCATGGCTACGTATATCCCAATCCCCAATCCTCTCGTAATGCCGCTGGCGTAAAAGGGTGAGCCCATAGTGAACAGAGCTCCAATACAGCCAAGCCAGGGAGTAAGAACCGGTAGATCAGGAAGCTGGAAAGCAGTGTTCACAACAGTGAGGAGGCAGAACGAGCCCAGAAGAAAGACTCCCCAGCCCATGAGTGGGTGCACTGTGGTGGGGATCATGTAGAAAGGAAGGCGGAAGCTGCCAGCAACTAGGGCAAGGATGATGAGTTTTATTGCCCAAGGATGGCACAGTTTCTTTTCCGCACAGGGGCCACGACCGAAGCAGGTGATTCTCGACATTGAGCTCTTCTCCGAGCACGCATATCGCTGCCGAATGATGAGTGCCACCAGCATTATGAAGATGTAAAAGAGGCTTTCAGCTATAAGGACGGGGGACTCAGTTTCGTACCTGCACCCCACACGTATTGTGCTAAACTTTTAAGTACTCTGTGACGAGCCATATTGGCTACATGTAACACCTCAAAATGAAAACATCTAATTTTTATCTGGCATTTGCGCAAACAAGGTGAACACTACCACTCCACAAATTCTAACAAAGAATGCAGCAATTGACGTTTGACATTGGATAGAACCATGTTTATCACCGACAAAGGTAATACTTGAAGCAAAGCGGAAGAGAAAATTTCTCACATAATTTGTGGCTTGTACTCACCCTATGGTAGCTACACGCTTTTCATGCCATGAAAGTCCCAAAGGTAGTATTGGCCACGACCACCAATACCATGGTTTCAACATGGGAACGCTAGGAAATGTGATGACGCTATTCGGACCACATGGAACTCTCCATTTCAGCTTCAGATCTGCACGTAGTTCATAGCAGTACACAAATTACTCAAACCTGGCCAGACCAATGTGCGCCAAAAATCAACCGTGGAGGTGAATTCTTAATTCATGCAGATCAGCCAACTTACCCTCGAGATTTCCCCTTGAGTGGTTAATATTGAAAAATATGGCTTGCAGTTATTAAATTAGACGGGTCATCTCAGATGCTTTGGAGTTGTTTCGATGAGACTTACAAAAGAATGAAGCATCCATTTGGTACCCGAGTGGAAGTCGGAAAAGACCGTCGAGTCTTGAACCGTCAGCAGGAGGGTGAAACATGGGACGGTCGAGAAGATCGGTGAAATGACTCGCCAAGAAGCCTTGATCTGCTCCATCGCTGCTCTCCTTACCAATACTAATATCATGCATCATGTTACTGAAAGTTTCATTTGATGGCTGCAAATCGTACAAAACCAACGAAACGTTCGTATGAGGTTTATTGTACGGACGACTTACAACAATGAGCTTGAACAATTAAAAGGAATCCCACGAATAAAACATGAAAAACAACAAAACAAAAACAAACAAAGCTGCAGATTGCTGCAATAATGACACGAGAATGGCTTGGAGTATGTACTTACCTGTAGAACAAACAGACCAGTATGGAAAATGCACGGGTTAATGAAAGCAGCACAAAATTGGCCGCACTGGAAGAGCTCGTCCGGGGCTCGGAGAAACAAATTGTCGGCATCGAGCATCACCACCCTCTGGTATTCCGTCAGACTCCAAGCATAGATCTTGTTCAATGTCAACAGAAAGCGCTTATCAAAGTTGCGATAATTTGCGTAAGGGTTTTGAATATCACTCACGACCACAACCTTCGCACCTTCATCAGTTCTGCAGATAAAATGGAAGGGTCAGTTAACAAGACTATATTACGACCGCTGGCACACCATTTCACTTCAAAGTCAGCTCAATAAAGACTCTATTCCCTCACTGAACAGTCGCAAACTTGAATATTACCTACTCTGAGCCCTCTAACAATCTTACACCGACTCTATTCTTCTATTCTATTTTTGTTCGAAGCTTCGATAGGTCGTGTTCCCCCTTGGGGCTGAGAATTTAGAACCCTCCTTGAAAGTTAAGAGCTGAAGCTTCCGGAACTTATTAGTTTCGCGACACATATGGATTGAAGAAAGCTATCAAGCGAGAAAGAGGAATGAAACTCATGACACCTAAAGTTGACAAAGATTTCGACTCAACACTGTAGGCAATGGTCAATGAGATTTTGAGCGTTGCCACCGTGTAGCTTACAGTGTCTTTTGCCATTGCGGGGGAACGCTTTCAGAGGCGATGACAACAAGATCCGCGTCCACTTGGAACCGCACCAACGTCCCCAACATCACGCGAGCGGCAATGTAAAATTCGTAATCGCGAGGTGTGCCCATGTATAACATTGTAGCATAAGCATTTGCTTTCAGCGTTCCTTTCAAGGGCGCATGGGCTGCGTGGGACGAGAATGCTGCGCCTGTCAAAAGTGTTGACACCCAGAAAAGTGCAACAGATAATCTAAACTGAGCTGTTTTGCCATTCCGGTTCTCCATGGCACTTCCTCGATTAGAGTCACTGTGGCTTCTGTAGGATCCTTTTCCAATCGTCGCAGATCCCGATATCCCCGTCACGAAAACTTAGCTTGTGAATGTACTTTAATTGCTCAATATCTTGCTCATCTATCTATGAAGGGGCAAAAATTATAACTCCAGCACGACCCCAGCAAGATAGTTGCCTGTTGTGGTTCCCAAAAAGTGGAAATAACCTCTCATCAAGACGCCACCCAGACAAGAGGGTACACAGCAGATCACGAGTGGTTCGCTGCAGAAATTTTATATCGAAATCTTTAGAGACAACACCCAATATTCTTCAGACGACTTTAGCAGATAGACACTGATAGGGCAGAGAGAGTGTCTCAAAGTCTTGTGGAGATCTCTACGATTTTTTTCAAAGCGAGAGGCGGGGCATTGTTGGGGTAGTCGAGCGGGTTACAACGTCATTTCCCTCCACCCAGGGGCCGTCATCCTCCCACAGATGGGAAGAAGGACCGACTAAATCGTGATTGTAAATTCAAAATGCTCAAACTCTTTTATGAAACTCCCAAGAAAACGTCCCCAATGCGCACACATCAACAGTAACACGAACAAAGCCGATTATACTTGAAACAGGTCGCTCGCGTCTGTTCGAGTTCCGAGCTCCCTCAAGGTAGGCAACGACTGTGCTAGATCCGTGAGCATGGAATGCAACACTATCACCCAACAGCGTGAACAGAATCACATGAACTCTCTCATTCACTACCTAAACGTCGACATTCTCCTCTGCAATCTCAGCATGTACACAAAATTAGAACTCAACTGGAAACTTAACCCGAGTCCAACTTCAGTACGCGGGAATTTACTTCTGGTCCAACAAGTATACTTCCTGAACACTTGCAGCCCGAGAATATCTACAAGAAACAGACCTTCACGCTTTGAGGAAATGCAGGCAACCCATTTCCTGAGGTCAGCCTCCTCCAGTCTATATCGCCTGAGCTTCTACCTGCATCAATATCCGCCCAGCCACTACCAAAAATTAATTACGAGGAAGCACGAGCTTATGAAGATAGGTATGTTTCACTGTTTCGACCTAGACTGGTTAATTTCCCCAAAAATGCATGCTATCGTCCTCAGTCAAGCCGTGAGCAAGAACAGGGAAGGTGGGATCGACACTATTGATCGATTGAGGTTCAACCCGTTGAGAAACAGCTTTGGAGTGCCGCGTCAGAGGTACTTACTGCAGTCGCAATATTTTGCAACTTGCAAGGAAGGTGGGCACGGGATTTAAGCCTGCCCTCGTGCGCAAATTTTTCCTGTAGTGGGGAACGTACCCATAGAATATCATTTTGGTGGATCGGAAGGGAGTAGATGCCCAGAGTATAAGTACTGCCAGTGCGTGGTGGTCCTCGACCGATTCAAGTGATTTGGTCCTACACGTGGTTTCTTTCCTCTGTCGGAGATTCTGGGTCTTCGTGTGAATGACGTATCATGACTCTCCAAAGCTTTCGTCCGTCAATGCACTTCAGGCTGAGAAAACGACGAAACGCGCCACATTTACACATGATTTGGCACCTTTCAACGTGCGGAATGTCATCAGATGAAAGCCAAATCGTTCAATTCTCGAGAAGAGAAATATATTCACACAGATTTCTGTGGTGTACCCAAAAAAATACTCATGCATATTTGTCTGCAACATATCCAATTGTATTGATGCCGACTTCAGCAGCCACTTTCATGAACGTGACATTCGAAACAAATAATGAGGATGAGAAATACTTTTTTATGTGGTGGAAAAGAGAAAACTCATTAAGCTCAATAAGTACTTTAAAAAGCTACTATTCCAATTTCATGATGTCAAAAAAATGGTAAAATGGTACGGGTATCTCACACTGCACCATGAGTTGAATTCCTCTACACCTCTTTTTTCTCGCTTGGGATCCGAGAAACCATAACAAAAGTATACCCCCCACATGATGATGATTTTGTTTGCCTGCAGCATCCATCAAGAAATTCTTGCAACTTACCGAGTCACACTCTGTGGGTTAAAACGTATTGGTGAATTAACCCTCCTGTGGGATATTTGGAGTAATATGCCAGACCATCACGCCGAACGTCCAATTTAGCAATTCACCAGAGATCCTTCAACGTGAGCGCCGTGCCGGGTGCAAGCTTCGTGATGGGAGGTTTCCGCATGTAAGATTCAACTCACGTCATGATCTTCGGCCCACCTTTTTCCAAGTTTACAGGAGTCCTCCACACTGCTCGCAACCCGCTTGCTTGATCTGATAAATGAAATAAATAAACAAATAAATAAAAAGAAAAAAACGGGTAAATATCACACAATTGATCAATTACAGAGTTACCCAAAATCACTCTGATCAGTCGTCAAAAACTCTACATTCCCAACAGAGTCATCTCACGCGCATTCACCTATAGCCAATGGGCTTGAAACTGTCACGCGTAATCTTGAAAGGCTGAACGGAGCGAGGAACCTTCGGAGTAGCCTCGCAAAGGGCTGCGGTTTCAACCATGAGACAAAAAGAGGTGCAGCAAGTGGAAGCCATAAATGGGAAACTCACGAGGAGCAGGAAATTCTCTAAGCAAGCAGGCATCCACCCACAGTATTTAGCAACTCCGAGATTATCTAGAGCTCAGTCGGAAGTCCGCAGTCACTTCCAAATAACCGCCGCGTCGTCGGATGTGCTGGTCGCCAAGCCTGGTTGTTGTTCGCGGACGGGCGGGGCGGGGCGGGACCGGGCTGGGTCAAGCTGGGGAAGGAACGGGCTGGGCTGGGCAAGGCAGGGACGCCGGGGGCCCTAGCTTTGCGTGTATCCACATGGCATTCCCTGTCCCCACCCCAATGCTCCATGCCCCTGACGTCACCACCGCCGTATTCCATATTGGTGTTGCCCCAACCAGTATTTGGCACGGTAAAGCGCTGAAATGAATGTCGACATTTTTCATTCATCCTTTCCATAGATTCTTGTAATGAATTTGGGTAATATTTGGTAATTCTGGTTACTTTTTGCAGAATGGGTTGTGTTCTGCGAAATGAATCGGATTTTTGATGAAATCAGAAGTTGTGATGTGATTTTTTTTTTTATCTAACATGTACATAATGAATGAAGTTTTATTATGTAGAATTACAAAACATAAAGACATACATAAATTTGAATTGTGAAATATCTTTTAAAACAATTACGACACTCTTAGTATTTATTTACATTCCAAAAAGATCCTCAAATTGATGGATAAAAAAAGCATATAAATGAATTTTTGGAGTAGTATTTAAGATGTATCATCAATTACTAATAAGATGATTGGACAACTCTTTTGCTATTGGCAGAATTTGCTTATAATAACACAGTACATTCTTCTATATAACAAACACCTCTTTTTTTTTAATTATGGATATCATGTACAATTTAATACTTTAATTTTTCAAAAGTTGATAATCGAGCAACAAAAGATTTGACAAATCATTTATCTGAGCTATATACAACAATGAAGTGGTGACTAAAAGAGGTTCAAGAACAACAAAAGATCAATACAAATGCTTATCGCAAAGAACAATCTCATTTTTACATTGGTAATAAAATATAGTTACTTCGTCATAATATTATAACTATTTGGTCTTTTGACAAGTTGGATTATCATAGATTTGGATCATTTCCTATTTTTGAATAAGTCACTCTAGTCAATTACATCTATTAGAGTCTATGAAAATCCATCCTATATTTTATGTATCTCTTTTAGAGCCATATAAGACAGTGAATATTTCGGAATAAAGACAAATATCATTGCCTTCTATAGAAGTGGATAATAATCAAGAATTCAAGGTGGAAGAAGACTTAGACTCAAGACAATGCCAACATAAGTTAAAATACCTTATTTATTGGCGCAGATATGATATTAGCAAATATACATTGGAGCGAGCAAAAAATCTTATAAATGCAACAAAAAAAGTCAAAGCTTTTCATCAATAACATCCATGAAAAGCAAGATGAAGGATAGCAAATCTTTACTATAAAAGAAATATAATTTAGAAAATATTGCATTCTATCTTCTATCCTTGTTTGTAGTTTTTGTATAATTGTAGTGTTAAGGAGATGGAGAATCAACAATCAGTAGATTCAACTTAAAAGCCATCATTTGCTGAATTATCCAATGAAAGATTGTAATTATCATAGCCTTTAAGACAACATAATAAGAATGAAGATCTTTAAGAACGACATGTTTATTTCAAATAGATGGCAAAATATAATGTATTTGGAAGAAGTTACAAAAGTTTTAATAATGATCAAATCATAAGGTGGTCTTCTTATCCTGAAATTAGACATTTACGATGGCTAAGAGGATCTATCAACTACTTTCAAAAGGAACAAAGATCAAAGTACATGGCAAATACATACTTGTCAATTCTTTTCTTAATATACATAATTTTTTATTATATATAATTTTTTATTTTTTTAATATACATACTTTTTTATTTCTATTTTTTTATATTTCTTTGAGAGAGCCTCATTTGATTATTTGCTTTCATTGAGTTCTTATCCTTGACACAATAACGAATCTTTTCTTACCTAGTAAGAAGTTTGAAACATACTGCATGAATTTGGATATCTTTTACTTTAAAATGTATGTATTAAGGAGATGATGGTATTGCCATTGAATTACAATAATGTTGACGCATACTTATGCAACTCTCAAATCAAAATTCAAAAAATTTATTATCTCACTTCATAGCAAAGTCAATTGCTTGACTTAATGTTTGAGGATTAGGTAAGTTAAATATTAATTTCTTTATCTTTTATTATAATTCATAAAAAAATTGGCTAATAAGTGCAACATCATCTCACTTGATATCAATTGTAAGTTGTAAAAATTGTGAAGCATATAATATTCCTGATTGATTGTCTTCTGATAAAATATGAATCTTATTGGTTAGAAAATGAATTGCATCATATTTTCTATACATGGATTGAAAATATGCCAAAAAAACCTCTAAATTATTCAACATTAGATCTCATTGTTTAAGAAAAGATAAAAATCATGATAATGCTAAACTTGAAAAAAGAGTACAAATGAATCTAATTTGTGATCTTCGAGTTAAATAGCTTGGGATTTAAAGTTTGATCACATATTGTACTTAATTGATAAATCTTCAAAACTTAGATCTTATGCTATTAAACTTCTTAGACAATGCAATCCTTAGTTCTTTAATACTAAAAGGATATTCTACCATATGAAAAGAGACATGATTTGATGCAGATATTGAAGTAGCTCCAATCATCTCTATATCTTTGCTCCTTGCCATTCTTATTGCTCCTTGTGGCAGTAAATTGAGTTGATACATCAGAAGTATTAATTTCGTGAATTGTTCTTACATTTGTGCCATTGTACTCTTTATTTCAAGAATTTTTATTATGATAATATTTAAAAAAGGAAAGATATGTAATTTTTCTTAAGAAAAACATAAGAAATGACTTGAGAAGAAAGAAAAAATTAAGAATAATATCAGTTTAGAAGAAGATAATCTACAATTTTTAATATGTTTATGTCTTATCAAGACAAATAAATGATCCACTCTTAATAAAAAAAAAAAGACAAAACTTTGATATTATAAGTTTACTATTGTCAATCTATTAAGGACAAGAATTTGATGGAAGAAAATAACAAATAAGATTTTTTCAAAGAAATATGAAAAAATAAAAATAAAAAAGTATGTATATTAAAAAAAAATGGAATAGCTATTGGTAAATAACAAGAAAATTAGAATGGCTATCACAAAAAGACAAAGAAATTAGAGATTCTTGAAACTAGACTAAAAATAAAAAAGGAATTTACAAAATTGAAGAAGGCTTCATTCTTGTCTTTATATATACTATCTACCTAAAAGCTACATGACAATGTTCTATAGGACCTTAAAGATGTATTGACTTTGCAAGCTACATGTCTAAGCTTACAAGAAAAAATTTCTATGTATGTACCACATTATTAACTTATGCTATAAGCTACCTTCATCTGTAATACATGGCTAATTTGTTGACTAAGTTTCTAATCTAAAAATCAATTATAAACATATATAAAGTCAAAATTGCATCTATAAAGCTCTTAAGAAGTTTTTCTAGAAGATATTATAAAATTAATTTATTTTTAGTTACTTTTATCTACTCGTATATAATCATATAAATAATTATTAGAGCAAGTATGTATGTTCATGATAGTATGTGCATGATATTATGCTCCTATATTGCAACTCCACAAACAAATATCACGATTGCTAATCTACTTCCTACCGAGTCACTTTTAATTCTTGTTCTAATTCAAATCAATCTTAATCTATGATATCTTACTATTGTGATGAACAATTGGTCGTTTTAATTCCTTTAGAGTTGATTCTTTATATTTATTATAGACAATGTATATGTATGAAGAAGGACTATACACGACATTGATTTTTTTCTTATAGCGCTACCAACTATTACATCAATATTAAAAAAAAGAGTCAAAGAAGATGATGTAAGTTGATTATCTATTCTTGTTGTTGAATGCTTGCTTTGTTATTTTTTCATAGATAAAAATGTCACTTTTTTAGTGCAATAATAATTGGCTTACAAAATAAATAATCAAGAATGTCAAACACTTACAACTCTTCTTTTTTATCTAGTAGAATGTGAATCACAACCAAAAACTACTTTGTACTCTTTTTGAATCTTGAAATGAAATAGAACCAACAATACTAGCGATAGTATATTTGATATTAGAAGTAGCATTCGATTGATAAATTTGATTAATATAAGAATGTAATTCATATAAAAGAATGGTTTTTATAAGACGTATGGCTTTATGCAATAATCCTTTACAATTACCATCTTGATAGATAGATATTGAATTTGTAAATACTAGAGCCTTCAAGCTCAAAGCAAATATATGAAGGCTTCTATCACACTAGATTATTGCCACTAATCCTTAATTGATTACATCAACATGAATCTTTTTAATATGCTTTACCATGAGAAAAAGAAGAAAATTACAAAAGTAATTGTAATAAAGAACCATTGTACATTCACCTATTCTTAGAGTTCCAACTATATGAATGATTTTGCCTCTTAACTTCAATCAATTGCAAATATAAAGAAATTGATTTTTCAATTCAATTGATGTCTATTATACCTCATTGCTTGGATACAAGATGACGAAATAGGACCTCAATCTCTAATATTATGTTGCCAATGCAATTATAATAGAGAAAAGGATGATGTTAGCAAGAAAAAAGATGTTTCAAAGTACCTAAAGCTTGTAATGATGTGAAGAGAAAAATAACAAAAAATAAGAGAGAGTGGATTTAAAGCAGATCAAATCTTATTCATAGAAAAGTTGGCAAAATTTGAAGGCAGCTTCTTGCCTTTCAACCCATTTTTGTTTTGTTTTTTTTTTGTTTTATTTCTTTTTTCTATTTTTATTTTTCTTTTTTATTATTTATAAATTAAAATAAATCTCCATTAAATGGAAGTTTATCCTAATTCACAATTTTTTTGATTATCTTAGGTTATTAATAAGTTTCTATTAGTATTTGCTTA